ATGATACTTGAGAGCAAAATGAGTGTGTTTTCGGTTTGAAAAGTGAGAAATGACTCATGTTTTCGGGTGAAATCGTATATATAGCGAGGGTTTTTGGTCCGAGGGGAGTTTTCGGTCATGGAGGGTTCTTGGTGGGGTTTGCGGTCCGAGAGTGAGGTTTGCGGTCTGAGTTTTCGGTTTGAAGAGTAGGACCCTTCACACGTTCTCGGTTCCTATTTTGGCCCCAAAATTGTGTTTTGGTATAAGTGTTTTTATCCTAAACATTAAAATACTTATATAAAAACATCATTTATATATTTTAAATCATATTTAACCCTTACGATCTTAACAAAATAAACAAAACTCGAATTTTATTTAGTGGGTTTGACTTTTATTGACTTGAAAATAACGGGTTGTTACACAATAGTAATCCTTGGTTGCTTGAGTTTGTTTGTGAGCCATTAGAGGCGCAACACTTGTGGCGCTTGCTACCAAAGGTCTTTCAAGCAAGGCTTCTAGATTGTTATTACAATATATCAATCAAGGTATGTATTTTAATCTTTATTATGTGAGTTTCGATTATAATACATAGAACCTAGGGTTTCTTCTTTCTTGTTCAAGTTTGCATGTTCAATTAGAGAAAACCTAGATCCAAAACAATTAGGGTTGCATGCACACATAGAAATGTATGTTTTGCTAAAAACCCATCAGTACCATGATATGCTACTGGATGATATTCTGAAGTTTGTGAGACTGTCGAGTTGCAAGACCTTGGGAGATATGATAAATAGAGCCTGAGAACGGGAGATTGAGTTGCAGCTTCGGTCGAAGCATGGACCAGAGCAGGTCCGGACCATGATGAACCAGGCGAAGAGGCCCAAGACTCAGGGTACACGATCAGGAGGCCATCAGGGTCGGGCCGTTGTGCCAAGTGTGGGAGGACTCACAAGGGAGTTGACATGAGAAAGGAGGGAAATGTTTTGGTTGTGTTCAGGCTGGTCATTTTAGTAGGGATTATCCTTAGGGTTCGAATCCAATGTGTTTTCACTGAAATCTGGTGGGCCACAAGAAGGCCAACTCTCCGAGACTGATGAGTGGAGCAGTGTTGGCACCTGCTCCAACTACATTGAGAATTATTGATGGCCGCGAGGGCAGGGTGGAGGCTCCAGTGACGAGGAGCAGAGCATTTTAGTTGCAGGCCAAGGAGACCCGAGTTCCACCAGATGTTATTGTAGGTATGTGCCATGTTTTCTTTCTTCATGCCTTGTTATTTATGTTTATGATTATATGTGTGTGTGTGACGTTATGTTCGGTTTCGTTAAGTCTCCAGCTAAAGATCATAGTTTCTTTATGGTTGCTTGGTTATTCTTATTATTATTCAAGGATGTCATATGTCGAGTATCCGGTTGAGCTGGTTGTACGGATCAGTTCGGGAGGCGACGGTCAGTGATGACGTGAGACCAAGGTGGGAGTAAACTGAGTGTTCTTCTTGGAGGAGCAGTAGCCGGACCGATTTTGATGGCTTCATCGCATTGGGTTAGAGGAAGTTATAGTGTAAGTTCTTTGAATTTTTAGAGCTCGAGATGGTTGAGATCTTTCGTGGTTGAGGGGTATAAGGAATTGGTCAGAACGCGATTGTAGGATGAGTTGTTGTCAGATTCATGCTTTTAGGTATACACGTGTTGTTCTCGCATCAGAAGATTTCAGGAAAAGATCTCCTTGTAGCCAGTTGTTCCTTCTGGGCCAATGAAGTCAGAGTTCAGAAGTGTTTGTGCCGCCCATGCTCGATATCAAATGTAGGTGGGAAATATAGAAAAAAATATCAAGATTTAATTAGAATACTAAAATAGATGTAATAATTGTGACATTTATCCTTCATAAATATTTGAAAATTTGAGCTAAAAAATATGTTAATGAATATTGTTAACGGACATAGTGATTACATACCTACAGAATAATTAAATTATCATTCAATAATTAAATAGTCATTCAGATTAAGTTATGATAGCATTTGAGAGTCACGCTATGAGATTCAAGATGTTCCTAATAATATTATGAATATGATATAAGATGTAAACATTTCGCGGTTGCAAAACCTGGCCTCTGTGCCTTGAACGACTACACGTTTCCAAACCTCCAAACTCATTTTAAAGTTGTGTATTTAATGTAAAATACGTTTTTATATAACTAATATATATTTATACATAACATTATGGTTTGAATATAAAAAAAACCTTGTATTTATATAAAAATATGGTTTTTAAATGAAAAAAGTTGTATTTATACTATTTAAAATGTAATAAAAAAAGATTTATACGGTTTCAAATGGAAAATGTTTAACATTGAACAAAAAATTTAAAAAAATGATGTTTGATTTGGATAAAAAAATAGAGTGATAAAACTTAAAAAAAAAATTAATGTTAAAATTGAAAAATGTGAAAACTTAGGTGCTGTTCGATTCACAGAATGTTGCTGAAGGATTTTGAATTGGAATTGGAAAAGGTTCTGTCAGGAATTTGAATCTAATTTCATATTGTTTGGTTGGCAGGAAGTTGAATTTGAATTAATTCCAGATTTCGTTTGGTTCGCAAGAATTGAATTGGAATTCAAGTAAAATGACATAATTACCCTTTTGCCTGTTTTGCTTAATTTTACTTTGTTTTCTAACTTATATGTAAAGATATATTATGAAAATTATAAAAACAGTAAAATTTCGGCGGTGGTGGGGGCAGTGGCGGCGAAAGTGGTGGGTGGCGGTGATGGTGGCGGCGATGGTGGTGGTGGTATTGATTGTGGTGGCAGAAGTGGTGATGATGGTGGCAATGGCAGCTGGTGGCGACAACGACGGTGGTGATGGTGCTGGTGGTGGCAGTTGTGGCTGGTGGTGGTGCTGGTAGCGGCGGTGGTGGTGGGTGATGGCATTGGTAGTGATGGTGGGTAATGATAGTGGTGGTGTTGGCGGGAATGGTGGTGGTGGTGGTGGTGGGTGGCGGCGGCCACGGTGGTAACGACGACGATGGTAGTGGTGGTGGCGTCGAAGGCAGTGGCGGTGGGTGACGGCGGCGGCAGTGATGGTGGGTGGTGGTGGCGGTGGCGGTGGTGGTGGTCATGGCGGTTGTAGTGATGGTCGGTGGCGGTGACGACGGTGGTGGCAACAACGGCGGTGGTAGTGGTTGTGGCGGCAACGGTGGTGGTGGTGGTGGTCGATGGTCGGTGGGGCGGAAGCGGTGGTGGTGGTGGCGGCGGTGGTGGTGGTGGTGGCAACGGTATCGGCGGTAGTGGTGGTCAGTGATAGTGGTAGTAATGGTGGTGGGTTTTCTGATAAGTATAAGGGGTATTTTTGTAATCTGTCACTTTCCTTGATGAGAATGAATGTTTTCCATCCAACTTTGGAAGGAATTCACTTTCCTCCATATGGTGGAAAGTTTATTTCATTTAGGAATCTTTTTCCCTCATCTAAGTCCAACTAAACGCATGAATTCGAGGGAATTATAATCATTTTCCCTCGAATTTCATTCATTTCCTGCCAACCAAACGCACCCTTAGTGTATTTTGTAGAAAAAAATCAATTTTGACATGAAAGAATGTAACGTCATCATGTTACATCAGCAGATAAGTTGCCCAGTCAAATGGTCAGAATAATAACAAATTAAAAAATACAGTTTCAAATTAGAATTTTTATATAAACTTAGTAACTTTTGTGTTATTTTCTTTTTTAAATTTCTAAACCCGTCAAACCCAAATTAATCTCTATTAATTTACAATCAATGCATTTATTTTGATAACCACCGTGCACTCATAAAATACATGACTATCTCGACTACATTATTTGCATTTTGGTCCCGAGTTCAAACAATCAATCATTATATATTCTTAAAGGTCAATATTTCTTAACCAATTTCACACACGTTATTCTTTGGATCAATCTTGTAAAATTCTTGATACCAAAAGTCCAAAATCATGCGTATCGAATTCTAACATTGAATTAACACGGTTACATAACCATCGTATACTTTATCAGTATTTTAGTTTATTACAATAATGATTAATTATCTATTTATCTTATTAAATTAAAAACAAGAAGTATCTTTAGAAAATCAAGTACAAAAAGATAGCATCTTTTATCTACTTTTGATTCTATAAAATTCTTAGTTACGTGTGATTCTAACTACATGTCGACAAGGAACGTGCTGTAGGTTTCAGAAATGAAACGTATTATTTTGTACGTCATTTACGCAACTCTTTCTTACGGAACTCTTATTTAGGATTACACATCATTTTCTTGACGTCTTTTATTTCTGTAACTTGAGATGTATAGTAATCTTTTTTTTTTTGCCACACTACATAGATTTAGTTTACAATATAAGAACGTTTATAAGTTATAAACAACAACAATATTACCTCCATCTCATACAACTAAGGTAAAACTGTAAAATTAAAAGACCGTTTCCGAAAATTGTTTCAGGAAATGACCTTTGACGATTATATATTTTAAAAGAACTATAAAAAATAATATTACCACCAATTAACCAATTTAATAGTGTAATGTCCAGTAAAACACGTTTTCCACTGTTATACTTATACCTTCAAAAAAAATTTATATCTTTGTTAATTAGTGAACAAGATTTTGCTGATTGGCCTTATTTTTCAGTCAAAAAAAGTATGCAGCTGTTCTTTTCTTATTAAAACATTTTAATATATAAACTTGTACGACAAGGAAAAAGTACGTAAGAAATTTACGAGAAATTTTACCGAAAATAGACCGAGGAGACCCAGAGCTTTGAACAAGTATACACAGTAATTAATTGACATTTAAATGATAGTATCCAAAATTTATTCAACCCCTCTAGAGGTGAGAACTTTATATCCAAAGATCTGTACAAGTACTTATACATAAAGTGCAACTAAATAGAGCAAAGATAAAACATGTTTTCATATTAACGTCATTGGCTTGAAACCTCATCCAATAGTTTATACCTTCTCACCTTATTTCTAAATACTTGTCTTGTTTTGATCCCACCTCCACCTACACCTCCACCACCAATTGATATATGATTCGCTGACTTTGACTTTCTCAAACCCACATGATGCTTCTCCTCCGCTACCACACCGCCGACCCTTTTCCGGCCCGTAGACACCGGAGACTCCTCCTCCGCCGAGGATCCCTGCAGTTTCTTGATCGGAGCGGGGCTTGGTAACTGTATATCAGAAGCCCTCCTCCTTTCCCTCAAACCTCCATGCCCAATTGTAGTATCATTAGGGTTTCTCTTGTTCTTGATGGCATGATCAAGGCGATTATCGCTGGAGTTGTTTCTGCACGAAGATGATGAGTTGGATGAGTTGCCGGAGTCATGTTTCTGACTCAGGCACCAGTTACAGGCTTTGTATGACTCGGCTTTAGGGTACTGATTGCTGCAATATCTGCGAAAAAGTTGGGAACTTTTCAAAATATTGTGATCGAAGTAGAAATCAAGTGAAAGCCCAGATGAATATGAATCAAATTACTTGTGTTGAGATCGGAATTTACAGATTTTGCATCTGAAAAGCTCTTGGGATATTCCATAATCACCACACATGCAGCACTCTGAGCTGATCGGTTGTCTTATGTTAGCAACAACAGCACCGCCACCGCCTCCTTTGTTTGCAATCATCTTGATTCGGGAGAGAGAGAGAAAGAGGAGAAAGAAAAATGTTAAATTACATATGCACGAGAATATATATATA